TTTTGGGGAGGTTGTGGGGCGGCTGGTCTTGGCCCATGAAGGGGCGAGGGCGGGAGGGGGGGATGGAGCAGCCCCAGCCCCATTTATAACCCTCTTCCTCCTCCTTGTTCGGGGCCAGACCTTATTCTTGAACTGTCTGGCTTTTCCAGGGGAGACGGCTTTCCCTCAGTTCACGGCATTAAATAATTAAATGGAGGGAATAATCGTCGGTGAAACCCCCTTGGGTTCGCACTTCCTCGGGCCCTGTGATTGCTGATATTTTTTGGGGTGAAATATGACCTTTTTTATGATCAAAGGGGATCAGAGTTCCAAAGGAAAGTTAAAAAAAAAAAAAAAGGAAAAAAAAAGAAAAGAGGGCAAGCATTTTCTTTTTTCCCAATCCTAGTGGTCTGGTAAAGTTTCTTTAGACATGCAAAGATTTACACACCTTTCTGCAGGGTGCCTTAAATTACCCTCCGACTCTTTACACATTTCCATGAGCAGAGCAAGAACAGTAAGTCATTGAGAAATTAACTGGCCTTTCAGTAATATCCCCTGTCGGCCTTTCAGAAGGAGAATGTCTAATGACTTTTTTGAAGTAGAGGTCAGGGTTTGCTTTTTTTAAATAAAACAATCTGTATTAATGCAATTTCCTTTTTAGCTGTAGGATTTGCCTCTTTTTTTTTTCAGCATCATTTTTTTCTTTAACTCCGCCAGCCACACAAGGCATCTGAAGTGAGACCCAGTGTTTGAAACCCACCCTCCTGGCATTTCCTAATTCTCTTGTGCAAGCTCTTCTCTTTTTTTTTTTGGTAAAAAATGTGTTTTAAATGATTAAAACTGGACCTTGGAGCTGGCAAGGTGACTCTTGGCCATGCTTAGGGCAAAGCACGGGTGGTTTGGAGACGAAGCCAAGCGGGTTTGCTTTGCCTGACACTGAGTGCCTGGGTTTTGCTGAGTGGGTTTGTGCTCAGAGCCTGGCTTTGCTGAGCCAGAGCTGTTGGGCTGATGAACCAGAGCGGCATCGAACTGGCAGGACCATGCCAAGCTCCTTGGGATGAGGGTCCGGCTGGCCAGAGCCTGCCAGGTTTGCAGTTTGCAGCCCTTGGGATGAATGCGTTTCTGTTTGCCAGTCCTTCCTCTTCCTCTCTTAAAAAAAAAAAAAAAAAGATATTTTTTGGTTCTCTCGCTTTGTGTCCTCCTAGGGGTTTCCTGATATTTCTCTCATGCTGTGATAACATCTCACGCTTCCACAGCGTTCACCACGGCACGGATCCGGACGTGCTTTGCCAGCCCCAGCCCTCCTCCTCACCCCTGAAACAGCAGCGGTGGCTGGGGTGGGACGGTGCAGCATCCTTGGAGCACTGCTTGGGCTCGTGCCGCTCCTTTCAGTACCCGGGTGCTCGTTTTCCTTAATATTCACCAAATCTGGCCCTATGGATATTATCGTGCAGAGAAACTGGACCGCCTTACCCATGTCCCCAATGGGTGGAAGGTTTTTTCTTATGATGGAGATGCACCTCTCCTCCACTGTAAGGAGGATGTACAGAGTAAAGAGATAGTAAGGAGTAGAGTATGGGAGATGGTGGGGGTTTGATGGTGCCTGACTGGCTCTTGTGGCGGGTGGCTGGGGGTCAGTCCCTTCCCCGGTGCTGGGGAAGCAGGGCTGCCTGCCCCATCTGCTTAAATCGGAGCCGTGCCCAGCCCCGTGTCCTGCCTGGAGCTGGGGACCAGAGCATCCCCATCCTGCCCCCCGCACCAAGGGCATCAGGACGGGCAGGGCTCAGGGCAGCGCTGCCCGCAGGGGTGACAGCCGGGTGACAGACCTGCTGGAGGAGTCCCTCCATGCCCTGTCCTGAGGGTCCCGGCTAGGAATGGTATTTCCCTATCCGCTGAGCAATTCCTCTTTCTCCCTCCATCCCTGCCAGACCCCGAAAGCGCAGCGTGCCCTGGGCTAGCTCCTTTCCTCCTCCTCTCCCCTCCAGCTCTCACAACTCCCCCCATTCCCTCCTAGCTCCTTGTCTCTGCAGTCAGTGGCATTATAAAACACCCCAGCCAGGCCCTTGGTGAAGGTTTTTTCTCCCAGCTTTCTTATTCCTTCTGTTTCTGCCTCTTTCTCTTGCTCTTTCTTTCTCTCCCTCTCTTTCTTTCCCTGCCAGGAATCCCAGTCCCAGATGAACCAATACTCCGTGGCTCTGCTATTTCCCTTTTATTCCCCCCCTCCTTCAACAGCGAGATGGGAAAAGAGTGAACTGAAAAAAAAAAAAAAAAAAAAAAAAAAAAAAAAAAAAAAAAACAAAACTGCAAATATTGGATCCAGATGTGCTTACAGCCCTTTCCAGCAATTTAATTAAATTCCCCCAGACAGCCAGGAGGATTTCTTAATGATCAAATTTCCCTGGCTTTCCTCCTAAAATGCCCCTCTTTCTTCGGCTGGCTGTTGCTCTGTCTCCCTGATGGATAGCCAACTCGCATTCTTCCTAGTCCGCCCCGCCAAGGCGATGGGGAGGAAGGGGGCAGATCCCGACGCTGTTATTTTAGCCGGGCACTCGAGCACCCCAGCCGACCGCACCAACGATGTCCCTATTTGCAAACCAGATTTTTTCACCCAAGAAATGTGGGGATGGGGAGTCACCTCTCTGGACGCCGTGGCTCCTGGCACAGCCATGACAGGACCAGGGCAGGGATGCTCCGGGGAAGGGCTCCCATGTGCCCAGCCCCTCACCCTTCCCTCACCCTCCCACGCTGATGGCCAGGGAAGGGTTTCAGCCCTTGGCTCTCTGGGTTTGACACCTCCCAGGGCTGGTTTTGAGCCGGGTTTGGCCCCACACTGCACCCCCAAAGCCTCCTTTGCAGCCAGGGGGGTTATTGGGGTGGGGGCTCATGGGGGTACGGCTGGGCTGGTGGGGCCCTTTGGGGTCACCTCTCCTCCCCAGGGCCAACACGGCTGGGGTCAGAGGTGGCAATGGGGTGACCTACACCCACCAGCCCTCTTTTCCCAGTCAAGGGTGGGGACTGCAGGGGGTGTTCCCCCCAAAACGGTGTCTGATGGAGGGTGGGACCCTGCATAGTCCCCACCAGTGCCACGCAGCTGGGGACAGTGACTGCACCCGGTGCTGCCACCCCAGCTGCGGAGGATCCAGGGTTTTACTGGACCACGGAGGGTTTAGGCTTTACCCAGGCCAGGAGGGTCCAGGGTTTGCCCAGGCACCAGCAGCAGCGAGGAGGCACTCAGGACTGGAGTGAGGGTCTCGGCTGCCCAGCCCACCCAATGAGGGGTCCCCCTGGCTGAGCTGCGCTGGTTTGAAGCCAGCTCATATGGGTATAAAGCAACCTTCATGCGAAGGGAGAAATCCTCACTCCCTTTTGCTCCTCCTGCTGCTTTTCCCCTCCTGTCCCTGCCCAGGGCACTTGGACGGGATTATTTCCACCCCCACTCAGGATGGTACAAGGATGATGCCCCCCCAAACCCCACCCATGGGGGCTACTGGGCTGCAAGGGGGGGGTCCATGCCAGCTGCCCAGCAAGGTGCCACCGCATGGCACCAATTCCCCGTGGCACCAGAGCCAGCAGCCACTCTGCAAAGGACTTGGGACCCACTGCCCTGCCATGAAGGCAGGCTTGGGGCCTGGGGGCTGCGGGCATTGGGGTCCCCTGCCATGACACCCCACTTTGTGTGGGGATGGGAAGGGTTGGGAAGAGGGGGGAGCGTGACAGCATGTCAGAAAAATGCCCAACTGGCACGGCCTCCTCGCCCCCTCTGCCCCCGGGCCACGGCTGCCTGCTGAAATCTGGAAGCGCTCCACCAGAATAAAATAAATACGTAAATAGGAAACCCAAGGCGGCTTCAGTTATTGCTGGTTCTCCGGAGCTCCCCGCGTCTGGAAATTCCACCAGAATAATCATAAAAATAATGATGATGATAATAATACCAATAAATTTTGGGCTAACGCTTCCTCCAGCAGCTCTTTTGGCAGGAGAGGGTCCGAGTGTGCTGCGGGCAGCAGCCCCCCGAACCCCCCGAGTTCTGGGGGGGTCACAGCCACTCGGTGGCACCTCCCCAGCACCCCCAGCCCCTCCTGGGTGAGTATCCCCAGTGGCAGTGGGTGCTCCCGGGAGGGCAGGGTGCTGGATGGGGAACTGGGCTGGTGCGTGAGGTTGCACGAACACATCGCCCACCCCCCACGAGTGGCAGAGCCGGAGCTGAAGCCACCCCGGGGCCCGGGGGGGGGGGATGCAGCTACGTGCATAGGTGTGCGTGCGTGCACACCTCGCCTGGGCACTAGCTTGTGCACTTGCGTGGGTGCCTCCGTGTTTGCAGGTGTGCACGGCGCGCGTGCCAGCAGCTGTGCACATCTGGGGGGAGGGTTGGAGAAGTTGTGCACGGGTGGGTGCCCGGGGGGT